GGGGGGGGGAGAAATGCAGGCAATTTTAGCTGGAAGAACAGGCGGGGAAATTTGCTTCCGTAGGAAGCGCAAATTTTTGTAAGTTGCAAAAATCCTCGGAACTCGCAAGAAAATGGACTGTGACAGGCTGCTTTTTATTTTCAAAATGATGTAAACAGTACCATATAAATACTGCTCGATTATGAAAGCGTACACTGATTGTTACACCCTGTAGAGACTGAGCCTAAATGCGCTTTGAGTAGTTAGAACTGGCTTCAAAATTCACGTTAAATACAAAAAATAGTAGCTTAACAGATTCATGAGATAGTAAAATTACTGGCAAGAGCAGATCCATGCTCCTCCATCTGTGTGTTTAGAGAAGCATGACAGATTGTAGCAGAAATAGAACTCCAAAAAAAAAAAAAAAAGATTCCCAAATTAAAACATTTCGGAATTAGAAAAATGCACAAAACTAGTAGCAATAAGGCAGAAAACTGAGGAAGTATCACACGAATCAGCAATAATAACAACATGCCTTTTCGTACTTTTGAAACGAATGTCTCAGACGAATTTGCATTTTTGCAACAAGGAAAATGGGTCTGGAAGTGCAAAATTTGTTTTTCCTAAAATAGCAACATCAATTTTCACGTTGTAGCAAATTAATTTGCTGTTAGGAGCTTACAAACATGTAGCATAACAATGGAGTACACATAATGCCAGTTTTATCAAACAACCTTAATTGTTTGCTACGATAAGGCATTTTCATCAGTCAGCAACGAAGCATAACAATCAGGGTGCAGACTTGGTATTCTCGGCCTGAGACTTACTTTCGGTGCCGAATGTGAATCGTCGATGTTCAGCTGTGTAGAACCTCCGTGGTGAGTGCATCTGGAATGTTTGAAACGAATCGCGCAACTCATCCAGTTCCGGAGAGGAGAGCTGAAAACCACTAGATCTGTCGTAATGTGTGTGTGTGTAGCAGTACCAATTCCTAACATGCCTATACAACTATGCACTTAAGCATGCATCGTATTCAGTTCAGAAAACGCATCAGCAGTATTCGCTTACAAGCCCCTAGAGATACCACCTGAGAAATGTAGTTGTATGCTCTCTCTCACTCTTCCAATGAGATGCGAAAACAGCAAATTTTTCTTCGAATCAAACATTTTCCGGCTACGCCGTCGCCAGAGATTACGAATTTACTGCAGTGAATTTGCTCTGCTATTTCGCTTTCAAAAAAGTATCACTTGACATAACGAGCTAGCTAATAACGCGTGAAATAACAGAACACAGTGAACCTCTTCATTTTCATCCGAAACACTCTGCTCGACAATCATCTTCTTTCCCGACAGTATATCAGACAACTCAGAGCATATCTGATTGAACTGCGAGTCCGGCAATGTCGCTTCTTCGTCCATCACACGTAATGCCCGTTCTTCGGTAACCGTTTCAAAAAACCAGTAGGCTATAAGATGCACAAAAAATCACTAGTGAGCTGTGGAAAATGACCCATGCACTGTGTAAGTTTATCTTATTTTCCCGTGTAATTATATTCTAATTATAATACTAAAGTATAATTAAGCTCGCCTAATTTTTTGGTTACTGCTGATAGTTTCAACTTAGCAAATTAAGCTTCAAAAAACTACTAATGGCTATCAGAAATGTTGCATGATGAATGTTTCGACAGATAAAAACGATGATAAAACTTAACAGTTCGGTGTATCAGTCAATTCACTGCTTCATTTTATCAATTTCACTTGCAGATCTCTAAGTGTTATATGCATATGAAAACGAAATTGCGGGACAGTTCACACTTCTAGTTTTCGAAATTTCCACAAAAAAAAGCTTACAATAAGCTGTAAGACACCCCGAAAGTTCCAGTGCAGCTGGATTGAAATTCATGGCTGGTTTCGTACCTGCAAATTTTTTACAATCCAGTTACGTAAACTGCACAAAAAAAAAAGTAAAGTTCGTAACAAAAAGTAAGTTTACGAGTCATCTTTTTTGCCTAGATGAACGCCTAAACGCTAGGATATATAAAGAGAAAAAATTATAAAAAAAAAAAGAAACGAACCAACAGCAGAAACACGCGGAAAAAGGTAGGCCGTGACAAGCTGTGGAAGCGCGTTTGCCCTGTCCTCCGACCATATTTCACCAGATGTCCTCAGCGGTTGTGCACGTGAGAGAACTAAATTATGCGCGACTTCCCTACTGCTCAAATAATCAGCACATCGTGCTATATTCCTGAAATTTATTATTATTATTATTGTTATTATTATTACTGTTATCATTATTGTTATTGTTATTGTTATTATTATTATTATTACTTTACTATTACTATTACTATTACTATTACTATTACTATTACTATTACTATTACTATTACTATTACTA